CGCTTTCAACGAAAGATGCAGAGGCTTTTATGAATGGAGTGCGGCTTCGGGGGAGGTAGTGATTGTGGGCAGTGAAGGACCATCTTCTCTACTAGGGAACTAAGCCCTACAGACCGTCCTTCTAAGAAGAGGACCGCTGCACCAAGGGCTTGGGTGCTTTGTCCTCCGCCGCCTGAAATAGATGTAAAGGCTGGAAATCTTGTTGGCGTGTGGAATTTGCGTATCCTGTAGGGCCCGTGCTTCATATGTTGCAAAGGTTCTCGACTCTCAGTCTTGGAGTTCAGGAGGCAGGGTTTGGATTTCAGGTGGGGGTCCCTAGAACACTTTGGGAAGGGCCTTTTCTATCCTGAGGGCTGGATAGGCAGGCGGAGCCATGAGCTAACAAGCAGCTACACCGAAGGAAGGCATTTTTTTGGAGCGAGGGTGGTGCTCTGCATTGTACATCAAAGTTCGCGGTCATGGCTTCCTGAGGCTGTCAAGGTAACGAATTTGGGTGAACATGCCCAAGAAGGTCAGAGAACCATTCTCAGTAGAGTTCCTTTGGCACGATCCTTGCGTTGCACGTCTAATCAGGAAAAGGAGGACCATCACTGAAATCCACAGTCTTGTAGAACTCGGTATCTAATTCGTCCCATGTCTCCCAAACTGTGACCTATGCAACTCCTGCTCGAACCAGAACATGGATGCGTATAAGACTTCTGCATCCCTACCGCACGAGGCAAACCTGAGAACCAAAACTGCCAAGACTAAGACTGTTGCCTGTTTAAACACGTGCCAATCTGGGTTTCCATGCTTTTCTATTGCAGTCTATTGCAGCAGAAACCCTCTCAAATCCAGACAAGCCGCTCTATCTTCAAATCTATATGCACCTCACCCAATTCTGAAATGACCGCTGACAAAAAACTTGGAAACCTCGATAGCCCCCCTACACTTTGACGGCTTCAACAAACTGCGCCTTCAGCTCAGCGCGTTGCGTTGCCGCTGTGGCCTTGCGAAAGTTGCTTGACCAGCCGGTAGACTTGGCTTTAGGTCTAGCCCAGAATTGACAGGCTTGTACGGGCCATGTAAGGCCCACATTTGGGCTCCATGGAATCAATTGCGGAAGTTTGGTTCACTTTGCTGCCCGGGAAATGCCTGCTGATGGAGACCATCAACCCAGACTAGGAACTTTGGTCAACTTGGTCTACAAGCCATTGCATAGATCGTTGCTGCGTTTCAAAGCCAAAAAGTCTATGATTCGGGGGTGTGTTGATTTTGGGTTGACCGGACGCTCTGTTTTCTCCACACAGAGCTGAAGGTCCGCATCATGAGGAATAGCGGGGACTCTGTGAAACCGTCTTTGATATGTCCAGAAATTATCTTTGACTGCTGCCATCTCTGGGCTTGTCGGGAACCTACACCATCTATAGGATGGGATTATCTACCTAGCTCAAGTTGGAGTATGGGGAGATGTTGTGGTTGAAAAGAAGCGCGCAAAGCCTAGCTTTTCCGGGCCGTATGACTCTCAGGCAGGAGCTTCTGACATTTGCCGTTAGGACTTCTCATGTCGCACGCATGCCGTTTAAGGATTGCGTTTCAAAGCCACTGTATCAGAAAACTTGGCGACGGGCCTTAGCATCATCTAGCCAGTCTAGCTACACCAACGAACAACCGAAAGTTGAGGTTAGGAGAGCAGTTCACAATCAAGAGGAAGAGGAAGAGGAGGAGGCGGAAGAGGTGGAGCTGGAGGAGAAGCAGGGCGAAGCAAAATGCAAAGATCGTCATTCAGCATAGCCAAGAATTACACTGGCAACAGAAGCAGCATGAACCCGCAAACCCTCGAAATCTCTCTTCCTTGAACGCTTCAGCCCCTATGCCTTCCTTCCACCGAACCCAGCCTGCTTTCGCTGCTCGGCCTCCTCCGTTTCTTGCTTCTGGCCTTGCAACATTGCCCTGGAGCTTGTGCCAAAATCTTTGCGGGCTCCGTTAACTAGAAGGTTGGGGAGATGCTGAACCTCAAGGAGCAGCTTATGATTAGGAGGCTTTTGGTATGAGGAAACAAAACTGTAGATGAGGACATGAGGAACAGTCTACACGGGTTAATGGCTTTCTACGGATTTTTGCTGAACCCCACGGTAAATTCTCAAGTTCCTCGATAACGTGGGAGCAGCCTATATGAAGCAAGCATGGCGGTCGCGAGAGCTTCGAGAGATCAGTGTTCATGGGCACGGGACTCTACTTCATGGAATCTCATGGAGTCTTCAAGATCTTGGGAAGTCTTGCTTAGCCTTGGGGAAGTATGTGCTTCCCAGGCTACATGGGCAAAACTAGTGGCACTTCTTAGTGGGCCTGTTGCATTGACCATCTTAATGTTCGAGGGCGTATACGTTTGATCTCAATGCTAAGAGCCCCAGCGTGCGAAGAACGCCTCGTCACGTCGTGGATCGTCACCTGGTTTGCCAGGCACTTTATCAAGACTTTTCACTTCTGAGTTCATGCCAAGGCTTTTTCAGCTTGGGGCTTCAGGTTTGGGGATGAGGTTTGGAGTAGAGCTGTAGTTACCAGAAAGATGAAGAAATCCAACAGAACGGCCACTATGCCGAACCTTTTGGTCACAGAATCGGCTCCAAATCTCGTTCGTAGGGACATCCGAATCCCCACGCAGAAAACATGTGAAGGACGGCAAGTCTTTGAGAAGCTTGAAAGCAACGCTGCGTTGCAGCCCATATAAAGTTCAGCAAAGAATATATGGCAGAAGCAAATATTCATGATCCAACCCTCGCATGCAGCCCTTACAATCTACTCTCCAGACCCGCCGACTAAAGCCCAACACCCTGAGCGCTAGACCTTCAACCCTAACCTCAGAACCAAGACCTGCCAGGCTGTACCTTGCCTGGTAGCCTCTGCTTCCAACTTTGAAGCTCCTGAACCTTCTCCAACACGGCCTCTCACATGCATGGTCTGGGACTTATATACAGTCCAGGAATCTAGTGAATCTAATGCTCAGGAATATGGGTGGAAGCTTTGTTTAATCTCAGGCGGTGAAGGTTGCTCAACTTGCGCATCGTCACGTTAAGTATCCATAGGGGAAACACCAGAGGCTGCATGCTGTTGACGGGTAGCCGGGCTTACAGACATGGCAGCACTGTAAAGCAGGCTCGCTGTTACGGCCTAAGGGTGTGCAGAAAGTGCTGGCCCTGAATGTTAGACCGTAAAGCCTAGGCAATGAATTTCCAAAAGCTGAAATATTCACAAACCATCCACACGAAGCCCTATGTAGTTCTGCTACAATCCCTTTCCCCACAGCCACAACCTACTCCTGTGTGATCCATCCGGAACACCCTTCAACCCTAAACTGACCTTCCCCAGCCCTAGATCCCTACAGCCCCTGGATAGCACCTCTTCATCTTCAGGCCTGATGTTCGTGACGAAGGCGCTGCTGCCGCAGTGGGATCTTACTGGGATACTAAGCATGACCATATTTGTTTTGCATTGCTGTGAAGCATCCATGCAACTATACCGTGTAATGCTAGCCACCCAGATTAAGGCTAACCCCATCCACCGCTCTGGAATAACTCTGGCCCGTCTAACACCGAACCGTAATCCATCCGCTCCCGTCCGCAAGATACCCCAAACCTTAGAAGTTTCCCAACAACTTGTAAACCCTATAGAACCAACAATCCTCCTCCCGCCTGATGCTGGTTGATCTTGGAGCCTGAGAGTCCTTGAGCTTTGAGATCGGCCTGGCTTGTCAAGTGAAGCTCTAGTGGACCTCGTTTCCTAAAGAGTGGATT